TTTTTTTCAATAGAATGAAGCCTTTATTTGCAACGGACTGCAAAGGAAGATAAGTGTAAATTCAATGATCAGAAAGGATGATAGGATGATGAAAGGATGATGCATTCAGAAAGGAAGATAAGGATATATTTACAGACCAGAAAGAAAGATAAGTGTCTATTTACTAATCAGAAACAAGGAAAATAACCATGCATTAACAGGACGATAAGCAAGTGTTGACTGACCGGTTCATGTTGGGCTTGACTCTCATATGCTGCCACAATCGCCTGATAATGATGATGTCTCCACATAAACACGTCACTCCAGTGTGATAAATTATCAGATGGCATGGGAAGGCGATTACTAAATGTGAAAATCAAACACAAATTTACAATAGTTGTGGTGGATAATTCAAAAACTATATTTTAAGGCAATAACTGGAAGTAAATTCTCACCGCCATGTTTTCACAATAGCTTTCATGTCATGTAGACTGGTTGATCGTCCAACATTCGGAGGCTGAAGTCCCGTATGAATCTGAGCGGCTTCCTGCAGTTCCATGATTTGTTGTGCTGCCTGAAAATAACAGCAATAACAATAAGCAGCAACATTGGAAAAACAATAGTAAATATAGCAGGAAAAAACAAAACATTCAGATCAACCCACCTGTAACAAAGGAATGTGTTGTTGTGAGATCACAGGAGGGAGTCGTCTCCACTGACGGATTGCTTGAGTAGTGGAATGCTCCACAAGTTTGTCCACCTGTAACACAAAACGTGACAGTAACATCAGTGTTCTGAAACAGCGCTGCTTAGAGATTGCGTGACATCCGTGACGTTTCCAGAGTCCTAGCATGGTAAGCAAAGTAGTACTTGCGTGACATCCGTGACGTGTCAAGAAGCCTAGACATTAACTTGACAGGAAGTAAATAGTACATACCATGTTAAGATGTTGATCGTCTGGGTGACAAATGGCAATGTAGCCTCGATATAAGTTTAACTTGTATGCAATGGATTCTGGGAAGTTGACTTCAACCTGTAACGTGAGTTGTAACATAAACCAGCAAAAAGTGAATAACGTGAAAGGAAAATAAATAAAACTATTTGTTTGAAGCAAAAGAACTGTTCAATGTGCACCTGAGCTAGAGCGTCCTTCATTGATGACCACTCAGGGACTCGCCATGCGCTCTCAAGCACTAAAATAAGAGAAATATAACAGCTTTATAACATGTATAACTGACAGATAACAACAACGCCAGACATAACTCAGTGCAAATCATACGCAGCGTAAAATGGCTTCAAAACAAAGAAACTTCAACGAAACGCTTGTCGGCAAAAAATTCGTCCAAAGCTTACACTGATCATAACTAACGCATGAAATAAACAATCTCGAGACAATGAAATGTCACATAAACTTACCAAGGAAAGGATTTGCATGGCCCTTTGTTTTTCCAAATTCCATCAATAAATCCCACTGACCGAGTTCTTTGGAACAACTGAAACAGGAAAGAAGCCACCTTGTCAATATCAAATTCTCCTTCACGATCTCTGTACATTTCTTCTAGTTATTATAAGGAGATATTACATTCTGATTCCACTTGGCATGGAGATTAGAGTTAACACATTGCTAACGGGAATGCATGCCATCCAAAGCTAAAAAAACTAAAGATAAACTCGAGTCTAACAATTCCTGTTTCAGAAAGACAATTCAAATACTCGTAAAACCTTCTTCTGGGAAAATCTATTTACCTGATCCAATGTTCTTCCCACAAATTGTATTCTGACGTCAATTGAGGGTTGGCGGGGCCACGGTTATGCTCCTCACGAGCCTTGCTCATCACCTTCAGAGAAAGTAAGAAAACGTACAGTAAAGTCAGTCAAGCCCGTACAAATTAACTCTGTCTCTGGGAAGTGACAGTAATCCTACATTTTCTTCATCAAAGGCCGCAAGATTTGTGATGAAACAAGGGCATCGAAAGGTACAAAATACAGTGACCAGAGAGCACAGCTGAACTTCGAGCAAAGTCGCTTGTACGAGACGTGAATGAGAAGATTTCAATTTAGCGTTCTTGATGTAAGCCCTTTCACTTTCCTTCTTGCAAACCGATGAACGCTCCAACTGCAACAAGCTCGCTGGTGCAACAGGCTCGCGATGCACATGACTAGCCACGAGCACAAGTGGTTCAAGCAAGAAAGATATCTTGCCTAGTCACGCAACGTCCCTACTCACGAAGCTTGTCACGCTATTACAATGTTCCACATGCATGCGATGGCTCTTACCACTTCATAAGCAGACTGCGCCTGTTCATAGAAGCCTTGAGTCTCATAAGCGATAGCAGTGGCTGTTTCTGGATACCGACAGCGCTGCTGCCACAAGCCGGCCCACATGTCCTCTTCATTCAGCAGTGAATACATCTCGGCTAGTGCATCCAGAGTTTCCTGATTACAAACAGTAATATTTCATATGAGTTATAAATAATAATGAATGCAGAAGTGTCAACCACTGTAGACCCAACAATAGTGCTTTGATTTTGTAGAACAGTACTGGACAAATTACAGGAACACATTACGAAGTGAGACCGACTAACGATCGCTAAATGGAAATGATTGCAAAGTGGACAATCTTGAAAATGCGAGCTTAACGTTTTCAGCATGCCTCATGTCTAACAGGCCTTTTAATTTTGTAAATCTCTCACAACCTTTTAGCAAACTGAGCTCTTAACGATGACGTCTTGCAGTCAGAAAAAAACTGAAGATATTCTGAGTGGAGAAGTTCAAAAACGGCTAAAAAAGCGAGCAGATTTCGTTAAATTACAAATCAAGATTATTCCACATAGATATTAACAAATAGACAAGCAGAGGCGCTGAGAGGGACAACAAAAAACACACGGACAAAAAAATTGAACTACAAAACAACAAACAACTCAACTTGTTTACATACATGTTGGTTTATCTCTGATGGATCCTCTTCAAAAGGCGAAAAATCGATCACTTGTTGCTGCTGATGTGAAATCTGATGATTGGAATATTCTTCACACAGACTGGCGTAATCCTCAAGCATTAACCCAGAACGGTGCCACGAGTTATGAGTTTTACCAAGATACTACAAAAAACACAAACACTTGATGTGAATAAAACTGCATCAAAATAGTACTTGACACGAATATAAACGAAGGGCATGAAGATAAGCACACGTGGTAAAGCATAAAATTGAGAGATTTTGCAGAACTTTGGTTTGAGAAAGATTTACAGTATCTTTGGAAAGTAATTTCCACTCGCTTTCATTAAAACAGTCCCAGTTACTGTTTCATCCAGACTCGATTTCGAACCACAATCCTGTTATCTTATCCACGGCTGCAAGTTGTCTCTGGAAACAAAAAGGTTAAGCAAGTGTAAACCAATGAACCTACCTTGAGAATACAGGGCCGGATAGGTACAGAGGGGCTACACTTGGACACGCCTTCAAGAATGGTGTGAACTGAACTGGGAAAAGTATCAAGTTGAACCAAGTGACTTCCACTGCACATGAACGGACTGATCTCACCAGCGAGAACCTGCAACACACGCGAGTAAACAACCGCAGAAAAGAAACTATAATGCATCACTGTTTTCTAGTTTAACTATTTCGTTGTAAGAGGTATTTGGAGAATACCATAGCTCAACAGGTTCTTGTAATTCTTGTAAGGAATTTTCCTATATTATTTTTAATTCACAATATTTCGTAACTTACTTGTTGTTGTTTCTCAGTCAGCAGATTCCACAGTTGAGGGAACAGGTCCACCCATACTGTATGAGCGAGGTTGGAGTACCTGTGGCACAGTTGAGCCATGGGACCCAGGAACGAAGCAGTCTATGAAGACAGAGAGAGAGAGAAAAAAAGAACATGTTAGGTTAAATACTGCTGTGATCTCGATAGAGGATTACATCTGCTGTGAATATACCTTACCTTGGCCTCACGAAGCTTGTCAATGAATTTCCCATGCTTCTCAGCGAGTAACTGTACAGTGTCGATCTCCTTTAGTCGACTGGACCCAGTCTCTTTGTCCATCGCGGTCAGAAGTTTCTACATCACGAAGGAAAATCAAACCTTAGTGGCTTCCTGATACGCTTTGTTGTAAATTTAACTCCGAATTGTGACGCACAAGGAAAGGTTTCAATAGCTGTTTTAGAGCGGTTTTCATTTGAGGGTCGAAAGACACAAACAGACACAAACTCACGCCACTTTTTCATCCAATCAGAAGTAAAACCAAAACTAATCGTGACTCGCTTGCACACGTTTTCCCGCGCTTCGCGTCAGCTACATGTGATTACTTCGAGTTTTGATTGGTTCATTGGATTGTCTGCGTCTTTTGTGATTGGCTAGAGTGATAACTTTGGTTTTGGTTTTGCGACACTCAATTGAAAACTGCTCTATCAATTCATAATAGTAATTGAAACAAATAAAAAACATCCTGGTCGGGGTTGGAATCACTGGAAATGGTTGCATTCTTAAACGTCTGTATTATGACGTGTCTTAATTTCTCCATGGGGAATTTAACAATTTGTTTGCTAATTAATATGTACCTCAGAATCGTCAATCTCAAAAAGGCAAAGCGATGCGTCTTTTTCTTTGTTGTTCTCGGCAGCACTGGTGTCTGTCTCCATCTTTTCCTCTTTGTTTTCCTCGGAGACTGCAGCCTTCTCCTGAGCATGCTTCAGAATTTCCTTACTCAGTTGGTTGTCTGCGGCCCGGAGGAATGACGTCACTGATGGAAGCATACTGAATGTACTGGAAGGTGTTACGGGCCTCTCGCACGCAGACACGGCCAGAAGAAGCTGGAACAAGACAAAATTGGCCATTAGATGGGAATTGCGACATAGCTCCTACTGACATAGTACAAAATGGCTCTGCTTGAAGCCAACATGTGTCGTTACGTACCTCAATACACTGCTTAATCCAGAAGTGAGGGCCCATTGCTTCCCAGTTCTGTAAGACGAGCCAAAAGAAATTTCATCATATTCGAAGAGCCCCGTTTTCAAAATGTTTTCCGTCCACAAGAAAATGCAAAGCCGGCCTTTTCAATTTCCTCCGGTTTGTAGAGGGTTTTCGAAAAGCTCCGCTTTCGTAACGGATTAGTGTGGACGCGGGTGGATTAGTAAACATTACACGCGTGACCATATTAAGAAAAAAGCCCTCCCGCAATTAAGAGTCACGCACCGCGATGAAGCTGAAGGACGTCAAATAATCTTACCTGAGAACAGAAGATATAAAGCAGTCGATCGTACAACTTCTTCTTCATTGTTTTATCAAAAACCTGTGATAAAGGAATCAAACATGTCATCAAATTCAAACTTCGCAACGTCAATGTGTTTTCTTGATCATTAAAACACAGGATTCTAAATCTTTCGCTTATCCACTTGTGTCCAAATTCGAAAACATTAATTCCACGATTTCTTGTTAAAGCGGTTTTCATTTGAGTGTCTTGGTATTGCACTTACTACGCCACCCGATTGGTTTAAAAAAATTACCAACGACTTGCATGACAGTCAGCCAGGAGAGGTTACCAACTTAGTGCTAACAGACTAACTAACATAAACAGTGTCTTACTTCCATAAATCTTGATCGGATTTGTGGCTGGATACATCGCAGACCAGATAAAAATGCAGGCTCAAGTTTGGAAGCCAGTTCAGTGCTCACCAGGGTCTCATCTCTGCAAATAAACACAAATAAAATGTTTACAAAGTAAACACTTAAAAGCATCAACTTTTGTGTATAGTTTCACGCTTGTGTTTATAACTATTAGCAGAGTTCATATTGTAAACACGTGTATATTTGCATTGTTCCCCGAATAATGGATATCTGTATTTCATTGATAAATTAAATGCCTAAGCAATAAAACTGTAGTATTGTTTTACAATTCAAATGTAACCTTGCAACAGCAAATGCTTATAGAAGTTAAATTTATATTTTTTAAAAGAATTAAAATTTTCAATTTAAAAGGCCACGGGGGCCGTTCATTTGCGGTCTCGGCTCCAACTGTGTGGAACGTACTTCCAAAAGATATTAAAGACTCGTCTTCCATGAACATTTTTTAAAGTAAACTGAAAACGTAGCTTTTTAAATAAGCATTTTTTAAGTTAATTACATATCTTTTCATTTTTTATCTGTTTTTGACATTTTCTTAACTTTTTACAATAGGTATTTGTTTATAGATTTAATTTCTTGTAAAGCGCCACTGAACCTGAATAATTATAATAATATTATTATTATTATATTATATTATTATTAAAACTGTTTTCATTTTACAGGTCAAATTAGCCATGCAAAACTTAGATAAATTTCGAAGTAAAATTCTCTTCATTCTCTAACCTGTAGACATAATTGACAAGCTCTAAGAACTGTGCTTGTAATTCAAAATCTTCTGGAAACCTCTTCTCGTAATTAACCATCATTCGGACCAACAACAAGGACTTCTCTCTGAGTGTCGGCAGTCGCTGAATTGTCAGCTGAGTCTGAAGAGAAACATTGACTTAAACAAACATACCACGATATTTGATACAGCAAGAGAAGATGAAGAGTGAGAGAGTTCATCCCTCGTGTTAGCCTTATATCCAGAAGTTATTTTTGGATATGGTAACCAGTTCTCTCGCGGCTAATGTTATTATACGTGCAAAGCCGCATGTGCTGCCCACGTGAAAAGCCACATGTGCTGCCCACGTGTCCGCATTTCTTGACCCTCCTGGGATTACTAAGCCGTGAGTGATGAACTCTCTTGTGTTTTATGCCCTCCTGACACCGTATAATGTCAGATTGTGAGCTCACCATTTTGGTCTTTATCCAATCTTCTACGATCTTGGTAATGGCTCGAAGAAGCTTTGAGTCCTGAAAAATAACATCAGATTAGAGAATACTTGTAGTTGTTGTTGTTTTCTTTTAAAAATAAAACAATTATGCTTCAAACGTGACTCAGGTCACTTGCTTATATTGAATGTAACCCAATCTCTGTCATTTTCGAGAATTTTACGACTCATCTTTAATGATAAGCGTATACCCATGAAAAAAATTTCATAGCGAAAATGCATTTTAGGTGCATTATTTCATTTCTAACGTTTAGAAAGTTTTTGCAGTCCCTACTTGTTTGTCTTCATTCGTTATCCATTTTGCTAAAATGTAAAGCTTTAAGTTTTCGCCGTCTAATAGCGGCCAAACTGTATGTTATTGACAGAGAAAAACACCTTGATGTTGCAAGGTTTGAATTTGATGACATGTTTAAATTAAAGTTGTTCGTTCCCTTGTCGACAGATTTTTGATAAAACATGAAGAAACCGTCTACTTTCCACTTCGCTTTTCTTTCCACAATGCCTTGGTTCAAGAGGAAATAATTTTGATCCTTGCGTCAAAAGAGGTAATGAAGTTGTGTTACACTCACGGGTGATTTTTCAATAAGCGTTGTGAGGATGATAAAGAAGAGCTTCCTGATCTCGGCACTCATCACTCCCAACCGACCACGGATTAACTCCAAACACAGAATCAACATGTCACTAGCGCCTGAGAAAAAGAAAGGAAAATACAATCAAAATGGTGGAAGCCGCGGTCTGTACCTGCCAATCATCATAAAGAAATAATTACTATACTGAGGATGGAATCCTGTAGACTAAAGCAATCATACCTGTACTTTCTCCAAGAACTGCGTTTATGTGATCTTTGTGCATTCTTTGTAACGCCTTGAAAAACGGATTCATTAATCTAAACGGAAAAGATTATTAAGATATGAGTAGTGAAAGACATACACTGATACGGTTTGCCATGATCTCTCATATATTTACTTGCATTCTTCACCATCTACGGGTATTTTACGAACTCACAAAGTGACCAGCTCCCAGTTGACCCGATAGCTCATTTGGTAGAGCACTGCACCGGTATCGCAGAGGTCATGGGTTCGAATCCCGTTGAAGCATGTTTTTTTTTTTTTTTTCAGGCTTAAATTTTTACAACTGCTTAAGTTGTGTGTATAACTGCGATAACCAATCATGTCTTCATAGAGTTTTAAGTAAATTAAAGCTATTTTCACAAAACAATGTCAACTTACCTGTCGATGTATGAAGGATTGTGCATGCATGCAGCTTTAAGCATCATCAGAGGCCCATAGAAAATAGAAGTTGCTCCATTCGCAGACCTAAAGTGTACATAATGAGAACGTTATATACAGAAACAAGAACCTGACCCACACAAATGATATCAATTTGAAAATTGAAGAGTAAGACAATATAGTTACCTTTCGTAGTTTGTGAGACCATCATATATCACTTTGCCAATGTTGCCGTACAGAGTTTCTAATTCATCATACTTTGAAGTTGCTGTAGCTACAAAAAGAAACGGTCACGAGAGTTAAGAAAAACATCCCGTAGTGGTTTAGATATCCATCTGTTTGTTACGAAGCTCTAAGAAAAAAGAAACGTACACCCACACAAATGATATCAATTGGGTGTCCCACTACTGTATGTACTGTACTGTTTATTTATTTATTTATAATTGTAATCTTGTAAATTCTTTTTGTTGTTTACAGTAGTAGAAACAAACTGTTGTTGTTGTTGTTGTTGTTGTTGTTACACCTCTCCGTGTAGCAAACACTAATCGAGGCGATTGTCCTAATTAATCAGATCAAAGCTTTTATCAACTCGGTTCACTTGACACCCGAGGTTTTCCCGCACAAGAATTAGAAACTCTATAATACGAATTCAAGAATACATTGATAATACCTGATTCCAGTGGAAACAAAGTCATCAGTCTGGCCAGGAGTGTGTGGATAGCACGGATGACCTGCAGTTGATAAAGTCAACAAATTGAGAGAAATTGTAAACATTGTGTGACCTCTGTCGTGTGGTGAATGTGTTCAACACCAATGTGACATTCATATCAAAACCTTTTGAACTTGGTTAAAACACGTAATAGTTGACTGCTGAGGTGTAATGACTAAGAAAGAAATCAGTTTCACTACAGGGTTACAAAAGCAGTTCTCAATTTACATTTTTCAAAACTGTTTGTTTACATGTATTTACATATATTTGGTTCTCGCCTTGCTCCGAGGGTTTTTCTCCGGGCTCTTCAGTTTTCCTCCCTCCACAAAAACCAACATCTCCAAATTCCAATTCGACCGGGAGAGAGGGCCCGCATGAAAACCAGCGAGAGCTGATGTGATTTCTTCTCTAAATATTACAATTTCTTTTTATTTTATTTATTATATTTGCAATGCGCACCGTACTTTGTAGTTTATCACTGCAGAACCTTGGTGTTTTGGCGTGTCATACATGTGGCTATGCCTCTCTGAAGAGGTTTAAACAGAGTTACGATTGGTAATAAATACTGTACTTTGTAGTTCAACATTACAGTAGTACCTTGGTGTTTTGGCATGTCATACACGTAGCTATGCCTCTCTGAAGAGGTTTAAACAGTGTCAGGATGGTTTGCTGTGGCTGAAAGAGAAATGTCATATCAGAGAAACGTTGTGAACGATCGTGGCACTAAGCACTTATTGGTCAGAGAGCTCGGCTGAGCCCGTCATGTTTACATAAGGTTGCTAAGCAACACGATCCTGACATAATGTCGATTGGACGCTAAGAATCAACTGTGGATTCCAGTTGATTATGGCTACCCCTTAACAACCTCTGTTCACCAACAGTTAAAAACTTGAACCGAAAGTCAATTAACTAGGGCCAAAATTACTGTTATGAAAGAACCACAGTTTCTTTTAGGACACCATACAGTATTTTCACTTACCAGAACTGACAGCAGATAAGTTAAGATCTCAATAGCTGTGCAGACATTGGCATAGTTGGCAGCTGGTGTTTGATCCTACACAGAATAACGTGACATTTAGTTTATATTACTTAATTTTACAGCACAGGTGGAGACTTGTACTTTTAACTTGCAGGGGATATTAAGGAGCATATGATATTAAGAGAAAGCAAAACAGAGGAAAATGAGTGCATAAGTTTGAAGGTTTCAACTTCACGACCAAATGTTTGGCTTCATCAGAAACACGCAAATTATTCACTTACCACTGTAACCAGAATCTTGTCCAGCCATCCCACTCGCAAATCAGTTCCTAAACGTAAGACAAATACTATCAACAAACTCCTTCAATATTACTCAAAATCAATCTACTCCAGCTTATTCCAGGGAAGCCCAACCCCCACCCTGTCATTACTCATTAATCACCCACCTGGCCACACATCTGGTCTGAGCGCGGTCTTCAGTAACGCAACGCAGCGCCGTGACAGAGTTTCACCAGGGGATCCCATGGTGGTGGAGGGTTCATTAACCTACAATGTAACACACTGCATTTAACAGACAGTTTCACCTCCTGACAGGTTTAACGTATAATTTCATTGTTCTGTATTGTAAGATCAAGCTTGCTAAGTTTTACCTGACAAGCAATTCTAAGGAGGAAGTTGACCACAGCATCAGCATGGTGCTTCTCCAGCGGTGACTTGATCTGACTTTCCTGAACTGCTACCCGGGAAGCTGTGCTCTGTATACAAACAACGTAAACACATTAAAATGGTTGAAACAGACATGACTTTTCGAAATTCCCTGATTTTCCCCCAAAAATAGCATTTCCCTGACCAATACAAAATGTCAGGTCTAGCAGCGATCTTACAACTGTCCTTTCTACTCGTTCATTAAGACTTAGACTGATGAGTTTTCAACAAGTTTTCCTTCTTCATTAAGGAAAAATATCGTTGAGATCACAATGACCCCAAATGTTTCTTCTAGCCTTCAATGGTATTAAATCAGCCGTGTTGAATGATTTTAATTTTCCCTGACTTTCTTAAAAATGTCAAATTTTCGAAACTCTAAATAAAATTCCCTGACTTTTCCCTAACCTTGAAGAGTGTTTTTCCCTTACCATGACCTGTGGCAACCATGATTAAACTATGAGCCATTGAATTATTCATTTCTACCAAAATGACGACAGATACAATCCTAGTTGCATCCAAGACCATACCTACACAGTGCAGTAACGGGCGAGCTTCAATCAATGAATTTTCAATTTCTCTATTCATTTCACGTTCCTGCGAGAGGTACGCATTAAAAAAAAATTCAAGTAGATATATAAAGGAGAGTTTTATTCACATCCACTAACCTGGGACATTGATCTTGTCCTCTTTGTTTCTGGCGTGGCAGAGTCTTCAGAGGGCCGCTTAACACTTCCCACCTGAAGATGAGAACACATCACTTGAGAAATAAATGAACCCAATGGGTACCTCGTGAACTGTATGTGGAAAGACATCAACTTATCATATGGAAAAGAACGATGTGTTATGATGTCCGAGACACTTGCTACAATATATCTTTCTTAAATTCTTAAGTATGATACTTCAAATGCCTTTAGTATGTTTGAGTAATTTGCAGCAGCAATGTAATAGGCAATCACAAATAACAAGTTAAACGACTTCGCGACGGCTCACAAAGCCAATGGCACTTACTTGTGAAGCAGTTACAGGAGTGGATGGTTCCGTCTGCTGAAAAGAAAAAATTGAAAAATCTAAGATTAACGCGCAACTTTATAAACTGTGTATTCTAGATTACCAATCTTTAGTGGTACATGCTTACTGTTTTATTTACGTTAATGTTGTTGCTGTGACATCTTACAAATGAAGCTCCTCGCAGCCTCTGTACTAAACACAGACACGCTAGTCCAGACGGAACCTCATTCTACACAAGATACCTTACCTCTGAACTTGTCGTTTGTTCTTGATCGTCCTTGATTCGCTGCAGTTCCCATTTTAAAATCACTTCAGCCAGGTCTACAGCAAGTTTGCGGTGTTCAATGGAAGCCTAAATTAAAACAATTGGAAGTGAATTTTAGCAGCAGAGATTCCCCACCAAATCCCAAGGTTACAGTGCAGTTTTATTAGATTATTGCCTCATATTTTGCAAGATAACATATGCTACGTCCACACTACACCAAAAAAATCTGAAAACGGTGTTTTAACTCTGAAAACCCATCAAATATTTTCCGTCCACGCTACGCCAGAGAAATTTAAAAACGCAACAATCACCGATCATTTTGGATTTGTGTTTGAGGAAAACTCGAGCAGGGAAATCACACGATTACCGTGACGTCATTGTTTTCGAAAAGCTCCGTTTTCAAAATGTTTTCCGCCCACACGAAAACGCCAAGCCGGCGTTTTCAAATTCCTCCGGTTTGAAGAGCGCTTTCGAAAAGCTCAGTTTTCGTGACGGATCAGTATGGACGGTAGGCCTAACCGTAGAAATAAAGCTACGTTTTCAAATTCCTTCAGTTTGAATAGCGTTTACGATAAGCCCCGTTTTCGTGACGTATTAGTATGGACGGTAGGCCTAACCGTAGAAATAAAGCTACGTTTTCAAATTTCTCCGGCGTACGTTTGATAGGGCCATTGAAATAAAACAAGTTATTGGACACTTACATTAGCAGTGAATCCAAGCCTTTGCATAGCACTAACCATGTGCTGAATCAGGTGAATTCTTACTGGATAGTATACTCGATAATGTCGAACCAGTAATGTCCTGTAAGACAACAAAAACCTTCAGTCACCTTCCAACATTAAACCTTACACCCTTGCACTGTACAACTATGTACAAGTACACCATAATAGTTGAATGAACAAGTGTCATAATTTGTTTTTGGCAAAATTTCATAACATTATTCTACAATGTCCGAGTCCTATCATCCAATAAAAAACAGCGAGAGTACTTCGGAGTATTTCAAACATTGGTAGGTGTCACGTCATCATAACGCCATAAAGCATATGTACTGTTGCTAAGCAACTCAGCAGAACACTGCAGGCTCACTTAAATTCTCAGCTATAGTAAGGATTGTGATGGAAAACTGCGATTTTCCTCCCAGCTGTTAATGTGTGCTGGAATAACTTTGGTTCTTTTAAGTACGAATATCGTAACATACAGCATGTGAACCAGCTGTGCCACTGTGTGTCCTTCTTCCACAATGATCTTCTTTGTCCAGTGAGTTAACTTCGCCTGCAAGAGATTCAACAACTGGCAATTCAAGCTAAAGAATAACAAACGTTATTATACGACTTGTTCTTGTAGCCGATATAACACGGTCGAGGTCTGAGATTTTCCCGTAAAGACCTCACTTTTGGTTAATAAGTAGTTAAAATGAATAGCAGAAGATGAAGAAGTTATAACTTACATTTCCGTCTTCCATTCTAGCTGGCATAGCCGGTGTTAAAATATCAAGAGCCTGTTTGACGACTCCACGAGCCTCGACTGCATGAGCCTTCAGCAAGCTGTGGAATACCTAATAGTACAAGATATCGTATGTGAAATAAGTACGCCGTAGCCACGATAAACGTCTTGCTAGCTTCACATCAAAGTGAAAGAACTGCTTGTAGTTTCGTGACAACAAATTAGTATCTTTGCTGTATGAATTACATACAAACACGTTTTTCTCTCCTCAGTTTTCTAAAGAGCCATCTTACCTGCAGTACGATTCTCTTGTGAATAGCAAACTTTGCAATGATGTGGGCAAGTAACAAATGTCCGTGGTACTTGGTGGATGGGTCCTAAAAGCAACAACAACAAATCAGATTGTCCGACCCCTGGTTAGCTCAGCTGGTAGAGCACCAGAACGCTGTGCGGGAGGTCGAGGGTTCAAGCCCCAGACCAGACCAACATTCACCTTTGTAATTACATCTGCAAATGGTTAGACGTTCAAGTCTTCTCGGAGAAGGACTGGAAACCATAGGCCTTGTCTCATGCAACTTCAGTTGTAAATGGTCAGCAGGGGACGTTAAATAACCCACACAATTATCGCAAAGAGTAGGGCATGTTGTTCCCGGTGTTGTGGTCTGGCCTGGTCTCACAGGCTGGTGCTTCACATAGTGTAAACCTCATTGCGCCTTGTCCCCTTGCACAGAATTGTCCATCAAAAATTGCTATGTCTATGTCTCTGTCCTGGCATAAATAGTTGCAGAAAAACTAAAAACTATCAAGCACTGGATAGTTGTGATGATTCCAATGACCGAAAGTTGAGAATTCGAATTCTAAGTCATCGTTCAAGGATGCTATGCTTTGCTCAGTCAGTCAAATTGAGTTCCTCTTCTTTTGGATTAACAATATCATTAGGAAAGCAACACAAGAAAACAAGAACCCTACCACGCATTGTTTGGACAGTAAACAAGGCCAGGCAAATGTCATCAGACGACGCAATTTTATTCCTTGACGCCTTAACAGAAACAAGAAAACAGTTACCTTGAGACAAAGAAAGAACGATAAACAATGCTGACAAACTTAGGTAAAAAAGGCGAATTGAATTGATTCAACTTACTTATTTGCAGCATCATGGATATGCTGTGAGGCATGCTCTACAAGCAAAGCTGAAAACTGCAGCAACAGAATTCGCACGGCATCCTGAAATAGCAGACGATTCAACTTGTCACAGTTCTGATCATACGCCCAAAAAAGTACTCATAAATAACCTCAGACATTACACCGCCACACATATGCTTCTCAGATAATTGTGGTATGCACGGAGAAAGCGATACCAGTGTAAGTAAGATTGATTTTGGGTGTTGCACCTTACTGGTCGTATGAGAAGACAGCAATTTTAAATTTGCCACGAATGACGTACAAAACATCCAAAAAAGACATGCTCTTACTTCTGAAAATCGTAAATGAGTGTTATTTTACACTGAGTGAAACGAAAAAAAGGAGCTGGAGGGAAGGAGCCTGGAAATGGGTCATGTGACCTTTGGCGGGCTGTTATTTTTGTTGCGTCCGCCATTACAAACCTTTTCTCACTCGCCTACCTAAAACATTTCTAGTTAGTACTGTATGTTTTGTCCGTCTGATCTAAAAACCTTGCTTACGGTGGTGTAATTTCCCTACTCATACATGATGTATATGAGTTTACAATAAAGTTCAGGTTGTGGCGGTCTGTCTGGCATGGCTACCATTAGTGTAAGAGAAATAGCTACAGGTTTTGACTTACGGATGTCCCAAACGGATTATCCGGATCCACGACCTTGCACACGAACACACTGATGACATTTTCGTTACTGTCCTGTTCTGGGCTGGGGGGTCCGCCTATCAGGGCATCACCCTCTCCACGTTCAAACGACACTTGAAACATGGGGATTAGTACATACTGCAAGGCCTGAAGAAAGCAAAAACATACAAGAAAACACTTACTAGTATATCACTCACAGGGTGTTTTCAATGCACTTCCTTTCAGACTACTGTGTTGGGTAAGGTTCTTTATGACATCTATGAATGGTTAGATCTTTACAAAGAGCGAACAATTGCACACGCTGGTGATCTCATTATTAGTTTCAGATCGTAAACTGAGACTATGAACCATAAAACTTAAGATCCTTAAGGGACCCTAAAACTTTGGAGAAGATTTGGCCAGACCAATCTTATGAAAGACCTCCTGAGCGAAAGGAAAACACGTAGTAATGTTAGTACACAGTTTACAGAGTGTGGAAAATGGCTGCTCTACACACGTTCTTCATCGCTACTAATCAGCGAGCAAGAACATGGAAAGATTCAGTAAATAATGATAGGTTGATAGATACCTTGGCTTTAAGTTCTTGTGGAAAATTCTGATCATGAAACAGCTCCACGAATTTGAAGAAGACAGCTCTCTTTTGCTCAACTGAGTAACCCTGGGAAAGACGATTAACACCAGCAATAATGTTACCAATATTCCTGCTAATTTATAAATCATTGTAGCAAAGTGTGGTATGTTTTGAGCTCACTTATCCTGTAAGGTA